TTAAAGAAGATCACACACGGTCGAAAAATATTGTTATTTTTCTTTAATGGGGAAAATTGGACTCCCGCGTGTCAGATCTGTGGATTTCCGAAAGGCAGTGGGAATGCTACTGACATCACTTTGCACTTTAACAATCCGATTTGGTCAGAGTACAAGTTGTTTGTTTAACCCGACAACTCGGTGCACCCCGTCGCACACTTTGCACACTCATTAAAACGATTATTCACGACCTGTCGAGTGTTTTCGGGTTCATTCACAGGAAAGGCTTGCATCCAGAGAGCAATTCAAGTCAACACTGTCCACTACACCACGCACGTGAGGACTAGCTGGTGCCTGCGTGAAAGACTAGGGGAGGGGTTGGTGAGGAGTGCCTTGGCTGGTGAGGCCTGCTCAACACAGGGTACTCGGGAATCCCAACCTCCTGGGAAAGCTTGGAGCACTGGCTTCCACCACAGCCACATCACTACCTAGCTTCAAAGACTTGACCAGGAGCAGGAAAAGGAAACAAACAAAGGTAGCCCTCCCTCCCTGCTCTCTCTCCCTTTCAACCTTCTGCAAAACTTTAGATCCTAGGATGGCCCACCTTCTTTCTGCCTGTGGTCCCTCTTCGATCCATGGACAACTAACTACTGAGGAAAAAGGAATTCCCTTTCCAGCTCCCAAGGTCCCTTTGATCTCAAAAGGAATTTGGAATACATTTGTTTTCTGTATACCTTGCATTCACTAGGAGGGATGTAGGGTATAGCCAATGAATAAGAAAAAATAAGATCCCTGTATGCTTTTGGTAGTTGTACTCCCAACTGTTAAAGAGGAAGGACTGGTCCTCCATACTGAGAAAAGTCCTGCAGATTAAATATTAAATAGCCCTCAATAAGGCAGGCCACTTTTCGTTTTTGTTTTTTAATTTTCAAGCAAAACTTTTCAGTGTTTTGGAATGGCTACAGGGGACCACAAACATGGGTACATCTCAACTCCTCCTCTTGCCTTGTACTTATAATGAACACACTGAGCCAAGTTTTCCTATTTTGTTTCGAGATGAATTCTGGTACATACTATCCATGTGCTGTAATAGTGTAAGGGACATGGCTATCTTCAAAGGAGGTAATAACACATGCACACTAATAGAATATGTGTGTGTACACGTATTTAATATATAAGGATTCATAATGGTATCTTCTGCATGAGGATCCCTGGCCTATTTGGAGTTAGCACTTGTTTTAAAATTAATGTCCAATATCTATATTTAAATGATTCCTCCTTGATTTTTCATAAAAAGCACTGCTGAAACCTCATGGCTAGCTTATTTTTGTAAGGCTAACCCAGCCATGCCAATTGAAAATGATATCTTATTCACGAGTTTCGTTCTATTAAACCCAAGATCACCAAATCATGTTTTCTACCTTTATCGAAACACATCAATACAATGTGTGAAGAAAGGAATGGAAGCTTTTAAGCAGCATGAGGTTTTGTAAGCAGAAGCAGGTTTCTAATTGCTAACAGTCAAGTATGAATAAACAATTTTGTAAACTGGTCACACTCCCAGAATTGAAGTATACTTTTAGGTGCACTTAAAAATGGACCCGTTACGTGTGTTTTGCTTCCTACAATAAACTCTTTCATTAAAAGTAATGTGTGATAAAAATAAAGAGGGACACGCTGAAATATGGAAGCAAAGAGCTGAAACCTCTGCATAAATAAACACAAATCAATGTAGTAATACATAACACTATTGATGCAGAAACGATCGATTTTAGTCTTCCAACCTGCAATCAGAGTTCACCATGTTTAATTAACAGTATTTAGTCTCAGAAAAAAAAAACAGATAAATAAAGAAACAAACAATACCTACTGTCAATTCTATCTGATTCTACTTAATTATTCCCAGAATATTTTTGATAAGGTCAGCAGAGTACTCTTTTTTTTTATATAAGTAAGCTTTGCCAACCTTTAAAATCACATCATTAATTATAGAAATTATCAAAGTATTAAATAATAAAATTACCACCTTATTCTTGCTCTGAATTTCTCAACATTCATCCCAGTCTCTAATTATTCATTCAGAACATTTTAATAGGACAAACACAATAGTACTTCTTATTTTCAAAGTTTTCTCAGATACTCGGATACTATTGGGTTTAAAGATGCTTTAGCTACCTCTTATAGTAAAGGAGAAAGGTGTTGCTCTCTCAATGTCATGAAAACCCTCTCTCCTGAGCCTAAGCCTACATAAGCTTTATAGAAAAGGGCAGGGGGGGGGGGATCTGCACTATTTCGAGATTGTTTCTTACCATAAATGTAGAGTGAACATATGTCAGACTCAAAGAAATAGCTATATTTCAGATTCCTAGAATTTCCATCAAAACAATATTGCAGGTTTTCCTACAGTCAATTTTTCTTTTTGTGAGAAATTATAAGCCGCCATGGGTATGTAATCCCTTTCAGATTTTGCCTCTAGACAGTAATGGGAATTGTGTTTATATCTTTTATCTACAGAAATGCTCATCCACATTCATGCTTAAGTCTAGCTTTCTCAAGCACATGTTCTAAAAAGAATTTCCAATTTATAAAGCCCAATTAATCTTGAAAATTTTTTTTTATCTCTAACATCGCCATACATAAAGATTGAGTCTGATTATTTTTATAATAGTGCACAATCAAGAATTTTCCTTGACTCCTGTTATATCCACCTATGGCCAAGAACTCAGGGGCAACCAGACCCAAAAGGAAAATATCATCAGTTATTGTTTAGGGCTAATTTAACAGATAATTTAACTTCAAACAACAATGATTAGGTCATTAAATTTCAGAGTCATGAGAAAATGAAAGAACCAACCGAGACACAATTCTCTCTAACCCCATTACAGTTTTCAGTCTTCCTCTTCAATCAAAGGAATTAAAACAAACAAGCAAATAAACAAAATCCGCCTATGCAGGGAGATACCATTGCTCCTTAAAGCACACAAAGAGTGAAGCAGTGAGAGGAGACGACGAAGGAAAGCTATTTCAACCACGAGAAACTAGCAAATAGGAAAATTCAGCTCTAGCCGAAAATGAATATCCAAACGTGTAGTTAGTTATTGAACATGCTCTTTCATACCCACCAGAAGTTACAAATCTCGCCAAAAGCTACAGGCTCTTTCCTCCTGTGCGGCTTTCCCGCAGTGCCAAAGACGGTTAAACGCTGTAGGCCACAGGCCCCGGAGAGGTGTGGAGCATTCCATCGTCTCTCCAGACAGCTTCACATACAGAATTATCAGTTATTTGTTATGATCTCAAGTAACTCCTCTGATCAGTCTTGGAATTTCTGCCTATTTTAAGTTTTGCTAAAGGGCCAGGATGTAGCGGTGTGAAGGCTTAACCACTAAACGTGACTGTTGGAAGAGGGAGGTGGGAGGTGCAGGTGGAAGCATCCTTCTGCATCCCCCCCTTATCTTTTCGGTCCAGTTCTTCCGAAAGGAAGGTAATTCCTAGCAAATCTCCGTGTTTCTGCGGGAATCTGCTCCCCAACCCGGTTTTTGTCTCCCCCAACTCCAGGGTGCTCCTAGCGTTCAGGAAATTCCTACCCGGAGGCTCTTTCCAAAACACCCGGAGGCGTGGGCAGAAACGGAGAACCAGACAGAAGTGATCGAGGGCTATTGTAAAATCAGTTTTTACCAACCACCGGGTGAGTGCTGAGATCTGAAACCGCACCTGGCAAACAAAGACTAACAACTTCTAGGGAGACGGGGAGCGATCAAAGAAGTCTAAGAAAGAAGGGAAAGGTTTGGGACGCACGCGGCCTCGGCTCTGGAGGCCGGTTCCCCCCCGCGGCGACCGTGCGCTGGGCTAGAGCGCCCTCGCGTTGCGGCTCGCCGGCAGCGCGGCTCCCTGGGCAGGGAGGCAGGCGGCGGAGATCCGAGCGGGGACCCACACCCAGAAGCCTAGCTGCCGAGCGGCCCCAGCCAGCTCTACAGCACCCGTTCACGTTCTGCTGTTAGTCCCAAACCTGAGACCACAACGCCGCCGGCAGACCCCGGCCTCTCTACTAGGAGTCCAGCCCCGGCTCCCCCTCCAAAGTCAGTCGGAGCCCCGAGGCACCGGGCAGGCCATCCCTACACCGCAGCCCGGCCTCTCGGGAGCTTCGGGAGGAGCCAGCCAGAGTCTGGCGCGCTCGCAGCCACCCTGGGACAGCCAGACTCTGGAGCCTAGAGCGCCGGCTCCTAAGTGTGTATTAAAAATCAATTATTTGCCTGAGATTTCCAAAGCCGGGAACTGAGCTATTCCCAGCAGGGACAAAGTCAAGCCCAGAACGGTGCTCATTTCCCTAGTTTTTCCAAGAGACCAGGAAGTCTCTTGCCCTTAAACCGGCCGCTGAACTCGACCTGGAGCAGATAGATAGATCCTCTTAGTCCTGCCTACCCTGGCTTGACCGAGGCCAAGGAGCTGGTGAGAGAGGGCCGTACCGGAGTGAGGCCGGCAATGCCAGTGTGAAAATAGAGCGCGGACAGAGAGAGAGAGAGAGAGAGAGAGAGAGAGAGAGAGAGAGAGAGAGAGAGAGAGAGAGAGAGAGAGAGATGTTTCTGATTATAAAGAGCTTCATCTTGTTGCCGAGGGTAAATAATCCCGGGTTTGAACATTAAATTCCCTCGTTCTCTGAAGCAGCCACGACATTCAGAAATCCTATTTCCATTAAACGAATAACCTTACAACTTCTGAACCTGTTACAGTCTCCCGTTGCCTTTTCCACATACATTTATCTTCTTTTCTTCCTCCTTTGAAATATCTAAATCCTTTTTACCTAGGCATCCACCATGATTTCTGCTCACGTGGACAAATCATGCATTCTTCCACCTATGGCTGTTGGAATCCACTCACCAAGAACAATTTCCAAGTGAGGAAGGAAAAAAAAATAGAGCACTTAAGTGTACAAGAGTCTGGATCTAAGGGTCCATCCACAGCAGCCTGTGGGACACACTAACCACCCACCACCACCACGTGAGGCAAAGAGGAATCTGACTTACCGATCGCCGCCGGGTGAGAGTGTTCAGGGTTCTCAAGTCCTTCGCCTCCACAGCCTTCCAGACAGCATCAAGCAGAACCTTGGATTGGGGGTGGGGGTGGGGGTGGGGTGGGGGGCACCAAATCGGGAGGGAGGAAGACAAAACATAACACTACGTCATATATTCGCAGCCCAGAGCCCCTGGGCCTACCTTCCCAGGACAAGGTCTCCAAGAACCCGCCGATGGAGTGAGGAAAAGGGTCAGCTGAGGAGCCGAAAACTAAAAGATGGCTTATTTTTAACTATTGGGGTTGGGGGAGGGGTTCGTGGAGGAATGATAAGGCAGGACAATTGGGGTGAGAAAAAAAGCGGGAAATGGGAAGCAAAAAAAAAAAATCGAAAATGGAATTTTCAGCTAACTGGAAGGTCTCAAACGCCTTTTAACTCTTACAGGTAGGAAGAATTCGGGCACATTTTTGGGAAAGAGAATCTAGATGACCCTTATTCTTTTTGTAACTCCAGGATCCGGCCTGGAGTAGAAGCCTAATGCGAGGGGAATGTAAAATTCAATGTTCACCTACCCTGCTTCTTGGAAGGGCTGCGCAGATTTTTCCTTTGGAGCTTTCCATCTGTCTGGCAGAAATTGGAGCGGTGCTGGGGGCAGGTTGTCTGCTGAAGTAGGAACGTACAGGAACCCCGCCCTCTAGGCACAGTTACACAACCTCAGCAGCCGGGTCTCAGCCAGCCCTAAAAGCTCTAGTGATCATCACCTTCACCCTTTGTTAACCTCACTCTCCAGCAGGCGTTCAGCCTTAAAAACAACCAACTACATTAGCTGTTGACAAAACTAATTCATCAAAATTAAAAGTATTTCAATGCATGCAAATTCCTCAGTGAGAAAGTAGAAAATACACGTTGTAAAAAAAAATCATCCTTTCATATAGAATTCTAATATATTTGATTTACCCGTCTATTGGAGTAAAATATGGACCAACTTGAATACATATTATAGTCAATACACTTCAAGACATCCCCCCCCCTGCTGTGATTCCAGACATAGAAGCCTCTGGAAGAGTACTTTGACTAGAAGGACACTTATGTTGAACAGTTTCAGATTTACCTGATTTCCAATTTTGCAACTAGATGAAGAAACTCTTTCACCGCTGTTTTTTTTTTTATCATTCTTCTGTGTTTATGTAGTAACAATTGTGTTAACTTTCAATTATGTCAAAGTAAAACACTAAATCTGTAATATTATCATTTGTAGTTTCAGTGTTTAAATTGTGATCATTTTCTTTTCCAAAAGAATTTCAAAAAGGGCAGCCTCCATTTCATCTTAAGCAATTATAAGTTTTAAAGAAAATAATCACCAAAAAGTTTTAGCAATGTTGGTCTGGAATGAACTAACTGTAACCTGCAGCCATTGGTGACAACACAGTAAAACATTGTAACCACCAGTCTGAAGCAAAACTAAATGTACCAATGACATACCAGATTGTGGTTTTTAAAAGAGGGTATCAAGAGGGAGGGGAGGCTAGATCAGGATAAATGAAATAAGTGTTCACACACTGGGCTTCAGAAAGCCGTTACCAACTTCTCTTTCTATATATTCTTTTTCATGTCTAGGAAGCCTAATAAATTAATTTCCAACCACATCCACTACATATGTAAATTAGACATGTGCTAAAGCACTACTCCAGTCCTTAGTTCCATGAATTTAAGAAGTCTTTATGAAGACTTGAAAGTACAAAAAGTTGCCATTGAAATTATATTTCTCTATCTTCTAGATAAACATTTCATAAAATCACCAATAAGTATAGATAGTTAATTTACTTTGGCCAGAGGGAAAATACACATAAAAATGTTTCTTCAGTATCTGTCTTTTAGTTTTACTATGTGAATTCAGTTTCGTTTCAGTTTTTGCAATACTGCATTTCCTCTGTGATAGTATATAGTCATTCCACACATAAAACCCATAACAGAAGCAAGCAATATATCATCTTTTCCCCCAGCCTAAATGTAGGCCTTTCTCCAAGCTAGTTTGCCTCTCGATGAACATTTCCTGTGCCTAAGCCCACACTGGCCTTCTCCTTTTTTTTTTTTTTTTTAAACAGTAATTTGTGGTACTTTCTTTTGTGATTCACTTTATACAACTGTTAGATTTCAAGAAACTTATATCTAAGGTGAATCTAGTCTCACATTAAGAACAATCTTGTCTCCCTAAAGGAGATACTCAAACTAGTCATCTCAGTCTATTTTTGCCTATCCCTCTCTTCTAAATTTTTCTAAATTTGATTGCAGCTTTTCAAAATTTCCAGATTTCTTTCTCCCTCCCTCTCTCTCCCCCCCTTCTCCCTCTTCCCCTTGCTCCCTTTCTTCCTCTCTCCATTCACAACCCAGCCACCCCCATTTTCCAACATCAGCTATTCTGAATTTCAAATCAATTTTAGCCAACCTGCTTCTCTACTAGTCACCCCCCCCCCCACTTCCCTGAGCAACTCTCTAAGTGTTTGCTGATAACATCTTAGGGACAGATTATTTTTCACTGGGCCCATTGTAAGAAGTGGCCAGCTTATTGCAATACTGCAGAACACATTTCAGACTATACAAATGTAACAAATGAACAACTTGTCTTCCACAGAATCACCACAGGATCCAATTAATTACTAAACCTTTAACTCGGGTTTTCTAATTATTTTCTGGAATTATAGCAAGTGGGCTGTCTGAAACAATTGAAAAAGTTTTCATTTTGTTTCATATATATGCATATATATACACATGCAATGTATCTCATATATATGCATACTGCACTTAAAGCAAAAAATGATTCAATTTAAGCAAAAGAAACATGTCTGTAAATTAAATTATACAAATATATTGAAAAGAGAATCAAACAAATACCTCTGTGTTGTAAAAATGGAGAGGGAACATGGAGTATTTTACTCTGAGTAACTAGAATTTTAAATTGTTGTAATTAAAAATTTAAATATCAATATCCGTCTGTGAGTCATTACAACAGGTGATCACTTCAGCAAGCTCTACATTGCAACTCAGCACATCTTTATTAGAATTCGTTCATTGTGGGTAAACAGCCACAAAAATAAATGCTGACTTAGAAAGTATAAATACAAATATTTAACAAAAATGTTTGCAGCATTCATAGCGCAAATTGTACCTGAACTGAAGGGATATATATATATACACACATATATATACATACGCATATATGTATATATGTGTATATATACACACATATATAATGTGTTCATTATTCACTTCTAACTATATACATATATTTATTTATAATTTGCCAAGTTCCATGAACAAGATACCTGGAACAATATATATAAAGGGCATTCTATCAACTGAATTTAAAATAAGCACAGAATAAACAGCTATACACATAAAACTGAATGTCTTTTTTTGCTGTATATCTACAAAAACAAAGATATCAGCTGAAAAGCCTATATTTCATTTAAAGCTAGCATTAATTAAGTAACCTGCTCCTGGTAAAATTGTTTCACAAAGGGGGAAAAAAAGGATACTATTCTCAATTTTGGTCTCAGTTGAAATTAAAGGAGCAGCTTAAACTCCAACTTGACTGAAAAAGCTTTCGAATTACCTATAAATTGAATGGTATCTGGCAAATTAGCTCTACTTAATAAAAGAGACAAAAATATCAAGATCTATATGAATTTAGCCTATTTTTTTATTTCTGTGTGTTCATAGTAAACATTTTTGTAAGTGACAAACACGGGCATACGACCACAGCATCACAATCAAGAAATTTTAAGACAACATTAACAATCACTCAAATTGATGCGGCGTTTGCGCAACACAGGTTACATATTTGCAAGGTTTACCTATAAGTACAATAGGCATTAACATTTCACTACATTTAGAAAAAATAAAAGTGACCTGTTAGTGACCACATACATCGAAATATACACAACACAAACTGAAGGCAATCCTTAATTTTGTCCCCTTCCGATTCAATTGAATGGGCAGTGTTGCCAACTAAACAACTTTGCTTTTTCGTTTGTTTGTTTGTTTGTTTGTTTGTTTGTTTTAATACTTAGTATACCAAGTGCATTTGCTAAAATCCAATCTTTGGTCTAAAAGTAAACAAAAGGTAAAAACAGTTCTTTAAAGAAAAAGGACAAAACAATAAATGGCCAATATAATTTCTTGGGCACCTTTACTACAAATTCTTAAATACAAATTACAGTTTAACATTTTTTTTTAAACTCTCTCCATAATTTAGGTTGATCTCAAGGCCTGCGTCCACCAGATAGCTCCATGATAACTTATAATACTGCACACATGGAAATCTGGCAGCCTTTTGAGATAGGCTTGTCAGGTTTGAATGAAATGGCGAAGCAGTCACTATTTAGATACACATTCTACTATAATTTGACGTCCAAACCTTATATTCTACAATGTATTCTCCCACATTGCACCTCGCTGACACTCCACACCTTGTTAGAATAGTAAACAACCCTAAAGACTGAACAAACGTACAGAAATGGGGGAGGGGGCTTAATAAAAAATACCTGGACTTATTTTTTTTAATTATCATTTACAATGCAAATGTGTGTAAAACGTTCACTTACAGTCTGGTCCCCGGGATGTTAATGTATTAAAGGGTTGGAAGAAGACCCCTGATTTTGATGTGTGAAATAATCAGACAGTCCCCCGGACAGTCCTGTCGTAAAACTTGGCAAAGAGGGTCTTAAGGACTCACAGGGCAGGGTCGAGGGGGCCTGCGGCGACGTAGAGGAGGATGCGGCCCGGGCGCTCATGGACGTGCTGGTCTGCGAAGTCATTGACGGGTGCGGGACGTGGGGGAAAAAGTAACTCGTCTGGCCCGCGAGCAGGTTGACGGAGCAGGGGTTGAGGGAGTAGGTCCCGGAGCAGGGCACCGACAGGCCGCAGGGCACCGAGGCGGCGAGCGCAGCGGCCGTGAGGTGGTGTGTGGCATACGGGATCTCCCCGTTGACCAGCCGGTCCACGCTCAGCCCGTTGGCGGTGGAGAAGGAGTGGTTGTTGCCCAGCGAGTTCTGAGTCAACACGGAGCTGTAGGGCATGGGGTGGCTGGGGTAGGCCGACGTGGTGCCGTTGTAACTCAAAGTGCTGCTGGCGCGGGGGTGGTGCAGGGACAAGAAGGGCGACATGGGCCAGTAGAGGGAGCCGGCGCGGTCCATGAAGGTGAGGCCGGTGGAGGTGAGGCGAGCCCCGCGCTTGAAGGCCAGCTTGGCCCGGGACGTGGTGGAGCGGCGCCGCAGCTTGCCGGTCGTGCCGCCGATGAACACGTCGTCGCTGGACGGGTCCAGCATCCAGTAGTTGCCCTTGCCCGGGTCGTCGTAGTGGCGGGGCACCTTCACGAAGCACTTGTTGAGGGACAGGTTGTGGCGGATGGAGTTCTGCCAGCCCTGCTTGTTCTCGCGGTAGTAGGGGAAGTTCTTCATGATGAACTCGTAGATGCCGTTGAGCGTCAGGCGCTTCTCCGGGCTCTGCCGGATGGCCATCATGATGAGCGCGTTGTAGCTGAACGGCGGCTTCTCGTACTTGCCGTTCTTCTTGTCGCCCTCCTTGCCCCCCTCCCCGTCCTTGCCGCCCTCGCCCGCCCCCTTCTTCTCCTCCCCCCCGGCGGCACCCGCGCCTTTCTCCTTCTCGTCCGGCCCGACGGGCGCCAGCTCGGCCGGCCCACCGCCCGGCTCGCCTTTGGCTCCCAGCGCGTCGGCCTTGGCCCCGTCCAGGGCGGCGGGTGGCGGGAGCAGAAGCGGTTGCGGGCCCTTGTCGTCGTCGGCGGCCGGGGCTCCTCGTGCCTGCGGGGGCTGCGGGGCCGGGGGTGGCTGCTGCTGCTGCTGCTGGGGCGGCGGGGGCGGCTGGGGCGCGGGCGGCGGCGGGTGGTGGTGGTGATGGTGGTGGTGGTGGTGCTGGGGGTGGTGGCTGTTGTGGTGGCCGTGGCTCGCGTGGTGGTTGTCGTTCTGGACGGCCTCGGGGACCAGGCTGTTGATGCTGAACGAGGACTTGGGAATCATTTTCACCTCTTTCCTATCTCCCATGTCCAGCATCACCCAGGCGTCGGGGGGCGGCGGCAGCGGCA